ATTATTATTATTATTTTTTTTTTTTCTCAGTAAACTGTAGTGTTAAGGGTGTAGTTGTTAAACAATATACTCAAACCAAATTAAGGACATGATTGTTTATGAGTTAACTTACTCACATTTATTTCATACTCAAAATTTAATTCAACTTTAACTCATCATCACTATCTGTAATATTATTCATATAATTAAATAATACAAACCAATCATTCTTATACATCAAATCAACTTTAATACACTATTCATTCACTCACATATTTTTTATTTTTTTTTTTTCGAAACGAAAATAATATTAAAACCAACTCAAGAGCGTAAATACAAATGGCATGTCCGAGGACATAGACCTTAGCCTTAAAACTGAGGCTAAGTAGAGAGGGGATGCAACCCCAAAAAAAACCAAGAAAACAGGACCATAAATTACAGACCAACAAAAGCAAACTACATACTAACAGAAGCTAACTAACAAACAGAAAAGAGCAAAAAACTAACAAGAAATGAGGGAAACTAAATAAAACAAGAGAAAGCAAAAGCAAAAGCCAGCGCCTAAAAGACGGACTAAAAAAAGGGACGCCATGCAAAGTGTAAAGATCCTGTAGAAGCTTGCCACTGAACTCCAAAGTTTCTAGCCCAACTTCCACAATAAATAGCAATCCCTCAAAAGCAAAGCAAACAGAGAAGAAGAGAATGATAACAAACGCAAATGTTATAGATTGAGGCCGTTCGCTTCTTCAAATTCCACCCATTCCGACCAGGCTCCATTAGCAATTTCTACTTCGGATTTCCAGATATTGTTAAAAACCCAAATATTTCTGGACTTCCACAACCACCATAGAATATAGGAGGAAAAATGAATACAATCGTGGAAGCTTCTAACTCTCTTCATGGAACAAATGTCTTGCCACCAAAATTGAAAAGAGAAATTCAAGAGATGCATACCTTCCCAATGTAAACCTGCATGATTCCAAACTTTGACAGCACGGGGGCAAAAAAAGAATATATGATCGAGGGATTCCTCTGCTGATCCACAGACACTGCAGATAGGGTCCACCAGGATGTCTCTCTTGATGAGTTGGTCATTTATGCCCAAGTACTGGAACCAACATCTCCAGAGGAAAACCTTGATTTTCTTTTTGATTTTCAGAGCCCAAGTGGTATTCCATGCCTTAGAAATTCTTAGGTTTTGATTGCTCGATTCAGGTGGTCTGTAAAGCATTTTCTTTTCTGAAAGAATAGACAAATAAGCAGATTTAACTAAAAATTTCCCTTGCTTATGTGGAGTCCAGATCATGGAATCTTGCTGGCCTTTCCTGAAGGGAATCTTTAGTATTATTTGAGCTTCTTCCGGACTGAATGCTTGCTCAATGAGATCTTTGTCCCATGCAGTGCCATTTGAGTTCAACAGGTCACGAACTTTTTCCAGCTTTAGACCATCAGATATAAATTCCATTGAAGGGGATAAGTTGGGAAGCCCTACAGCCCATGGGTCTGTCCAGATGATAGTGTTTTTACCATTCCCGATAGACATGATGGCTTTTTTTCGAAGGTGGGGGACTGTTTTCAGCCAAGTACTCCATAGCCAAGAGTCGGTGGATTTATGTTGGGCCTTCCATAATGATGTGTTAGGAAAGTATTTCCCTTTGATCACTTTACTCATCAATAGCTCGGGCTTCTGGATAATCCTCCACAACTGTTTTAAGATGAGGGCATCATTAAAGGATGCTAGACATTTGAATCCCAATCCTCCCTCTTCTTTGGGCAGCGTGAGGTTATTCCATGAGGTCCAATGAATTCTACTACCCCCATCTTGCTTGTGGCCCCACCAAAATGAAGCGGACAGCCTGCATATTTCTTTACATGTAGCCACAGGTAATTTGAAGCAAGACATAATAAAAGTGGGGAGAGCCCCGATAACTGATTTCAGCAAAATCTCCCTTCCCGCTTCACTAAGGAAGATATTTTTCCATGAATTTATTCTGCTGGACACTCTATTAACAACAAAACTAAAGATTTGTTTTTTTGATTTACCAAGCCCCAGAGGGAGGCCTAAATAAGAAGATGAATGAACAGCAGAAATGCCTTGTAAAATTGAGCAGATTTCATCTTTTAACGGGGCCTGAGAGTTCTTTGAAAAGAAAACAGAGGATTTGCTGAAATTAACCCTCTGTCCAGATTCTATGCCATAGAGATTAAGGATTTGAGAAATCAAAGAGGCATGGTGAACATCAGCTTGGCAAAAGAGGATTGAGTCGTCGGCAAAGAAAAGGTGAGTGATTGAGGGTGAGTGTTTGCTGATTTTTATGCCTTGAAAAGAATGTTTAAGGGCGGCTTGTTTGATAAGATTGGAGAAAGCCTCCGAGATAATTATAAAGAGATACGGCGACAATGGATCACCCTGTCGCAAGCCTCTAGATGGTTTAAGAGAGCCTAGAGGCTGCCCATTTATGTTGAACGTGAAAGAAGAGGTAGTGATGCAAGTCATTATCCACGAGATAAAAGTTTGGCAGAAGCCCATTTGATGACAGATAGCAGGTAAGAAGGGCCACTCGACACAATCAAAAGATTTCTGCATGTCGAGTTTTAGGGCCATGAAACAACGTTTGCCAGTTCTTTTACTGTTTAGGAAGTGTATGCACTCGTTCGCGATAACAAAATTATCTAGCAGTTGTCTGTTGGGAACGAATGCTGCTTGGTTGGGGCTGATGCAGTGATGGAGGACAAGTTTTAGCCGATTGGCAAGTATTTTGGAGATGAGTTTATACGTGACGGTACATAGACTGATGGGTCTGTAATCGTTGATAATTTGGGGGTTCTTCTTTTTAGGGATGAGGGTTAGGGCCGTAGTGTTAGTTGCTTTAGGCATCTTACCGGTGGCAAAAAAGACTGAATGGCCTGGAACAGATCATTTTTAACAGTGGTCCAAGAAGATTGAAAAAAATGCGGGGACATACCGTCAATGCCTGGCGCTTTACTGGGGTGCATTTCCCATAAGGCCTTTTTAAGCTCCTCCATAGACACAGGTCTGATTAAGTGTGAGTTCATGTCATCCGTGATTGATAGGGGTATGCCCTCAAGGCTGGTGAATCTCAAAGGGGGCTGTGATGTCTTGAACAGCTTTTCGAAATGATGATGGACCACCTGGAGGATTTCTTCTGTTGAAGAGCAGCTTTCACCATTGTTGTTCATGAGCCCCTCAATGCTATTTTTGCTTCTTCTTTGTTTCACGCATGCTTGAAAGTATTTCGTGTTTTTATCGCCTTCTTTAAGCCAGGTGACCCTAGCTTTTTGGGCCCAATATTTCTCTTCCGCGGCATATGCTAGGTGCAAGTTCTTTTTCATCTGATCCCATTGAGCCCAATCTTTGTTGGGACCTTGTAAATCAAGGGCTTCCAGTTGTGCAGTCAAACGGTCAATGGTCTTTTTGGAGTTGGTCGATGCTGTCGATTTCCATTTCAGTAGGGCCACTCTGACGTTTTTTATTTTGGCTTGGATACTGTAGAGATCCCTACCATAACATCCCCTGTTCCAAGCCTCCGAGACAGTGTTGGAAAAGCCTTCCTCCTTTGTCCATCATGAGTCGAAGTAGAAACGCTTTTTATGATTGCTGCTGGAATCGTCAGTCTCAAGCATGATTAGGCAATGATCTGAGGAAAGCCGGGGTATATGCTTTGATTGGGTCTTCGGAAAGAGGAGGGCCATTCCGGGGAAATAAAAAATCTGTCCAGACGTTCCTCTATAAAATCACCACCCTGTCTGCGATTATCCCAGGTAAATGGATATCCCTTAAACGGGACTTCAGACATTTTCATACCTCGAACAAAAGATTTGAAGGATAAGAGGGTAGCCTCACTCCTAGGAGAACCTCCACGTTTCTCATTGTTTGACAAGATATCGTTGAAGTCACCTCCTAGGAGCCAAAATTTCCCCCAATTTGCCATGCATTGCCTCAAGAAATGCCATTGAATTTCCCTGAAATTAGGGTCAGTGCTAGCATATAAAAATTGCCCAGAATATGGTGGGGTTTTTAGCAAAAGTGAAACTGACTTGAACAGAAAATGGTTGCTCATGATTTGGATTATGGAAATTTGGTCTGACCAACATAAGAATAACCCCCCACTAGTACCATCTGGAGCTACAAAATACCAGTTATCAACCAGCTTCAGCTTTTTACATACGGAAGAAACAATTTTTTGGTTTTTTTTTTTAACTTCTGAAAGAAAAAACAAATCTGGAAAGTGAGCCCGTAGGGTCTCTCGGATTTGGGAAATTGTAGAGGGTCCTCCCAGACCTCTACAATTCCACACCGAGATTTTCATTTAGAACCTTGGGCCCAGTTATGGCTGAATTCCCCCACCATTTTGGATTGTTCGGATGTTTGATCATTTTCACAAGAAAGAGGGGAAAACAGTTTGCATTTTTTATTTTCAGCGTAAGAGTTGTCAGTGAGAAAATTTTCTTCCAAATGAGATCTTTTTTTATTGAGGGAAAGAGGGCAGTTATGTTTCATGATTTCAACATCGGTGAGCGGAGACTTGAAAGAAATTTCCTTGCACATTTTGTAGGATTTGTTTGATTTTTTGCCCCTTTTGGATGAAGGAAGTGAGGTGTTATCTGGGGGTGGAATAGGAGTTGTGATTGGTGTGTCCTGTAGAATTGGAATATCAACAAGTTGAGAATGGGATGGTACATTTAGTGTGTTTGATTGGTTCGATGGGATTGGGTGTTCGATAGGCATGGGGTCTAGGTGGTCGTCAGAATTCGCATTTGGGTCAATGTGAACTGGTTCATAGTGATGGGAATTGGGGGTGGGTTCAGAAGGAGTGTTTTTAGGCGAAGAAGGTTGGTTTATTTTGTTGGAATCACCGATTTCACTTGTTTTACCTGGACTGGTGGTTTTAGTTGAGTCTCCATCTGCCTGGGTAAAGGCTCTACTCCAGTGGAAGCTGCCAGAGCTGGCTTTAATCCAGTCCCCATATTGGCCTGGGCAATGCTTGTTGTTCTTAATGTCTTCTTTCTTGTGGCTGCAGTTTCGTTCACTATGGCCAATCTGCCCACAGTAATAACAGAATGCTTGGAGGTTCTCGTATCGAAAGCTCACCCATACATATTCTTGGCCCAATTTAATATTTGCACCCCTTAGCAGTGGATCATTAAGGTTAACCCTAGCTAGGATTTTTAGCCATCGGCCAGAAATGCTTCCCGATTCAGGCACATAGACATCTGAGACAGTAACAAACATTTTGCCAATTTTAATTCCCGTGTCCGCCGAGATCCAGTGCAAGGGCAACCCATGGATTTGGACCCATAGATCTACATGTTCTTCGTCTGCCCACTGAATGCTTACATTTGTCCATTCCTTCAGCAGAATGTACTGCCGGTCGAAGCTCCAAGATTTGCCTGTTAAAATTTTTTGCTTCTCTTCTTCAGACTGAAAGACAAATTGAAAGGTGTTCTGGCCTACTAGACGGGTAGTGAATGGGTGTTGCGTTTTCCAGATGCTCCTAAGAGTATCCTTCAGGCCCATAAGGTTAGCCTTCTTTTCACCATAGATTTTGCCGATTAAGCTTCTGGAACATTCTTGGATCCCAACCACTATATCGTCTTCAGACAGAGTAACCCCCGATTCTTCTTTGGCAGAAATATCGAATTTCTGTAGCTTAGCTATTAGATCTGAATCCATGGCCTCAAAGAAGATGATCTGAGGAAACTAGAAAAGTCGCAACCTAGGGGAAACCCCTTTGGGAGGAAATTATGCGAATAGAACGACTCAGATAGTATATGGGTAGAGAAATAGAGTCGAAGAATATAGGCAAAGCGGAGAGAATAGATATCAGAGTGAAGTACTGGATTCAATCCCAAATTCACTCACATAATTTTAACTACATATCATTTACAATCATTTATCCCCTACTTTTACATCAAATCAATTTTAATCATTTCATTTTAAATATTATTTTAATACATTTTTAAAATTCCACAAACAACTAACTATACCACATTTTCCAGAATTAATTATGGTTAACCAAAATAACTCATTTCGAACAAATTATTTCATAAACAATCAAGCCCTAATTCTACTCAAAATTTAAGTCAACCACATTATCATCAATAATATCAATATAATTAAATAATAACAATCAGTCATTAAATAATAACAACCAGTCATTTTTACACATCATATCAACTTTAATTCAGTATTCTTCCACTCACATATTTTTAACTAACTATCACATCATATCATCTTTCTTCTACTTTTACATCAAACCAATTTAATGATTTTATTTTTAATATTATTTTAAATAAACTCAAAATCTCACTAACAACTAACTATACAAATTTTTTCTAAATTAACCCTAATTAACTAAAATAAATTTACTTTAAGTTAACTCACTCAAATTATTTCTTTAACAAGGAGACCCTAAGGGCTTGATTGTTTACAAATTATTTTATTCACTTTTATTTCAATTCAAAATTTAATTCAACTTTGACTCAACCCCACTATCTTTAATATTATTCATATAATTAAATAATACAAACTCTTACACATCACACCAACTTTAATTCACTATTCATCCACTCACATAATTTTACTACTTATCATTTCCAATTATTTATCTCTTACTTTTACATCTAATCAGTTTTAATCATTTTATTTTAAATATTATTTTAATACAATCTTAAAATTCCACTAACAACTAACCATACACATTTTTCAAAATTAAATATAATTAACTAAAATAACTCATTTTGAACAAATTATTTCGTAAACAATCAAACAACCATTGTCATTTTCTTAAAATTTTCAATTGCATCCAACGGTTAGTTACCTTGGACAGTACAGTCACAAAAGCTATTATTATCACTTTTCAATTAACTTCCGTGACTCAGCCATTCTTAGGACATAAATTCCGTGACTCAGCCATTCTTAGGACATCATTATTATTAATAGCAAAATTATTAAAATTATCACATAAACCATCATAATCATGCTTTACTCTGTACATAACCACACTTGATATAAGTATAATCTCATTCTGCAAATAATTTGTCAATTTTATACTCTTCGAAAATCAAAAAACGTATAGAGATGTGAATTTGTCACATTCTAGACTTTTAATAGTCTATCCAAATTGTGCAATTTTCTTTTTTATTTTGACTTTTACGTCAACAATTGTTTCCTTAAACGATTTGATTTTGACAAATTACCCGTCCGATGTACTTATCCACAAATTTCCTCACTTAGCTAGTCTAAGGTTTCCTTTTTTTTTTTTTTTGACCAAATTCTCCCTAGGTGGTGGAAGCAGGGGTAGATCCAACTAATAGAATGAGGCGAGGTCAAATTTTTGTGTTAATTGAAAGGCAAAAGGCGCACATAAAGCATAAAAAAATTAGTATTATATATAAATTCTAATTTTCCAAAATAATTCAAAATTAAATCTTAAAATACCGTACAGTATCTTTAATTTTTTGTAAAAATTCAGTATTATATTTCATTCTGATTACTTAAGATACGTTATCATCACAAATACATTAAGACATATATATGTAACATGTCAACATCTCATAATTTTTCACTCGCGTACGTTAATTTTCTACAATATCGATGCACATATTAAATTGTACTTTGTCGGCCATGATATTTTTTAATATGTTGGATCAAAATATTTAACATAATTCAATCTCTTAGTTGATTTTATAGTTGACACTAATTTGCATTGGAAATAATTTTCTAATATAATATATTAGTATGAAAAGCCATGATAGATTTATATGAAAACACAACGGAAAAATGAAATATTATAATACGAAAAAATTTAGTATGAGAGAACGGGAAAAAAATACATAATAAACAACTTCATTTATGAATTATTATGGTAAAATTATTCTATTTATATTAATTTTATATTAGAAAAGTTTTGTAATAAAAAATATAAAATTTCAGGGGGGACCAAGGCCCCGTGGATATGGATCCGCCTCTGGGTGGGAGTGAAGATTTTAGTAGCAAAGCTATTTCAATGGAACGGGTATGAATTTCGGCGAATCCAACCCATATACATTTATTCTACCTGAACATGACTATCAAATTATTGAGAAAAAATTTGAAACAAATCGTATTGATGAACAAGAGAAAAATCTTTTTTTTTTTTTTTTTCAATGACGAACAAACAACTTGTTTGTATAAAACTCAAATCAACGTACATCGATACCCAACTAAGTACAAATCATTAGCTCCAACTTCTAAGGAGAAGTTCACAACCTAAGGGACTTACACTTCATTCCCTTCAAGAGCCATTTTGCTAAAGAAAACTAGTTGGACAAGCAATACAATCCAAAGAGAAAGCACAAAGATCAAACAAATTACAAAGATAATAAATGTCTTCACCTACAATACCAAACATAATCAATTTTTCTTTTTTTTTTTTCTTTTTTTTTTAACTAAGCCTATTTATTAATTTCTTAGCAGTCATACAACATTTTAAGGTCATCCACTTTATTAGTAATGTCGTTTCAAAATCCGACCTTAATGCTACCAGAACAACCTCCATTGAACTCCCTAAGAAGCCTAGATACAGCCCAGTCATGCAGGATCTCTACACCTCTGTAAGCCCTGCATCCAAGCCCCACCTTGCCATCTTTGCCACAACCAAAGAAACCAACCTCCATCATCCTGCACTCCATTCTATGCAGCTACTCTTCTTATAGCCCCCTTTTTGGGATATGTTCTCTTGTCCTCACTGGCTGACAAAAATTCAAGCCAATCTTTTTTGCACACTTTACTCTTTCTACCATCACCCAAACCTTCTCAAACATCCAACTATTTTCTAGTATTCTAAAGCCACCAAAGAAGATAAGTTGAAAAACATATCCTGTCTTTGAGGCATTGGGCATTATCAATACTACGAGAATCCAACCACCAATCTTTAAAGCCTAATCTATCAATTTCTAGCTTATCCGATCTAACCTCCAACAACTTCCAACATTTATATGCTTTAGGGCATTTGAAGAAGATATGATTTAAGTTCTCCTCCCATTCCCCACACATCTAACATATGACTTTCTTGCCCTTTTTTCTCTAATTGAAGATTACTACTCACAAATCCATTCCAGACCCTCCAAAGAAAGTTCTTTACTTTGTTCATGATTGGTAGCTTCTAGGTGGTTTGCTAAATTCTCTGAAGTTGAGTCTGGTTACTGCTATAGCCTACTACATACAAACCATTCTTTGCGAATTTCAGAATAACCTCATAAGCAGATTTAACAGTGAAATCCCCAAACTTGTTGCAATTAGATGTGTCCATTTGCCGGGCTGGGTCGTAACCCGGCCCGGCCTGCCGGGTCGGCGGTTCACCGTGTAGTGAACCGGGCCCGGCCCGCTTGTAACTAAGGGCCGGTTCACTGAACCGGCCCTTAACCGCCGGGTCGCAAACCCGGCGGGTCGAGCCGGTTCCAGGCCGGGCCCGGCGGGTTTACGGGTTTTTTAATTTTTTTTAATTTTTTTGTTATTTTAATGTATATTAATGTTTATTTGAATAAATAGTTTGTATATACTTACAAAATATAAGTTTTTGAGTCTGTTTGTCTATATCATTTCAAAATAAAACAAAAATAATGATCGGGCGTCAACTCTTGGAACCGAACGGTTAACGGTGTTGTATTTTATTGAGTATGGCAGAGAAGTACAGCTTGAGGTAGTTTAGAAATGCTAAATTGTACGTCAAATGAAGTCGAATAAGTGTAAAGAAATAAAATTATTAATGGAATGGACTTGAGCTTAGTTAACAGTTATTAAGTTCGAATATCGTGTACGATGAAAAATTTTGTTGCCAAAAAATTATACTCGAACTTAAAAATGTTAAATAAGGTGC